ACGATGACAGAGATCATCACAGAAATACCACAATTGCACATAGAATAGAAATCAACTGATAACAAGGATCTCAGCTCCAATGGATACATCTACATCACAGCTCTTGTCTCTATGGTTCAGCAAACATTTAGAAAGAGGTGAAAAGATTGTAAGAGCCAGAATACCAGGTGGTCTATTCTGAAAAGATATCCACTAGAAATGGCTTCATAAACAAGACAGGAATGGGGACAATATCAACAAGTGAGGGGGAAATTTGTGTGGGTTCCCACCACTAGAAAAAGAATTATGGGAAGCTGATAACTGTTAAAGGAAGAAGAATTAGAGTCTCCCATGAATAAATCCACTCATTGGTTTTCCAGTGCAGAGTGGTCAGCACTAAAACATTTATACATAAACAACAAAAATGGACTCAGGCTTCCTTTCCTCTGGCAGCAACCATCAGGTGAGCCAAGATGGGTGCATACAAATACATCCAGGAGCTGTGGAGGAAGAAGCAGTCTGACGTGATGCGCTTTCTTCTGAGGGTTCGCTGTTGGCAATACTGCCAGCTCTCTGGGCTACACAAGGCTCCCCGCCCCACTCGGCCTGATAAAGCGCGAAGACTGGGATACAAGGCGAAGCAAGGTTATGTCATTTACAGGATTCGTGTCTGCCCGCCGTGGTGGTCGCAAACGCCGGGTTCCTAAGGGTGCAACTTACGGCAAGCCTGTCCACCATGGTGTTAACCAGCTGAAATTTGCCCGAAGCCTTCAGTCTGTTGCTGAGGAGAGAGCTGGGCGCCATTGTGGGGCTTTGGGAGTCCTGAATTCCTACTGGGTTGGTGAAGATTCCACATATAAATTTTTTGAGGTTATCCTCATTGATCCATTCCATAAAGCTATCAAAAGAAATCCTGACACCCAGTGGATCACCAAACCAGTCCACAAGCACAGAGAGATTCGTGGGCTGACATCTGCTGGCCGAAAGAGCCGTGGCCTTGGAAAGGACCACAAGTTCCACCACACTATTGGTGGTTCTCGCCATGCAGCCTGGAGAAGGCGCAATGCTCTCCAGCTCCACCGTTACAGCTAATGCACATAATATTTGTACAATTCATATCCAATAAACAATTTAGGACAGTCATTTCTGCTTAAAGGTGTTATTTGTTAAAAGTAGTCTACAGATTGTCATGAGTGCTTTGTGAAAGTATAGAAGTTAAGGTGCAGTAATTGAAAACTGTGGGTGATGGCGTATCTTGTTTTCTGATGTACTTTCTTTACATTATCTGCTTAGGGGATTAAGTTTATAGTGTTTGTGCCAAGTGGCATCTGCTGTGTAGGATCCTATAAAAGGAATCCCGAAACTAGCCCTAGATGTGTTTGGTGCATGAGATAGAATCTACAGCTTTATGATGGGATCTGGTTCACTGAAGTGACTGCTTGGGAGTTTTGAGTACAAAGGTTAGAGTTGGATTATGATTGATTAGAAATGTGTAGGAAGAGGGTTTCAAACCTGTTTTGTGAATATGCATAGAAAAGTGAAAACTAACACACATTTTGAAAATTGAATCCAGTGTTCCATTTTCAGAAGACCAGGTAAATTTGTTGGAAGAGTTTTATGTTCTGATGGATCTAGAGTGTGGGTTTGACACTTGAGGATTTGAAACTGGTGAAGATTGAACATTGGATGGAGTAGGACAGATTATTTCCATTAGGATTTGTAAGCTAGTAACCATATGGTTCCAAGTTAGTATCAACCAAGCAAACATGAATGGTGATTAAGCTTTTCTAACAGCTGGTATGTGCAGGTGGTTTTCGAGTTCCAGGACTGCCTACAATAGAGAGAAATTTTCTCTATTCCAGTCAATTAATCATGGGTAAGATAAGTCCATTGGTAGTGTGATTTCATTGTTTATATTCTACCCATAGGTAGTTGCTAGGGTTGCTGCTTCCTGGTACTGCCTGGATGTTCTTCACATTTCACAAAGGCCACACACATCACTACATTTCATTTCTATGCCATGCTTTGTAGTAGTTTCCCACAGTGATTTTGAGTGTGGAAGAAACAGTATTATCCCTATCATATATTGGGGTTTGCTGATTTGAACAGCTGGCTTGGTATCAAAACCTAATTGATGCTTTTGTTAAATTGATTTTTTTGAAGATTTTAAAAGGATGATTTGATTTCCAGAAAATACTAGACTCAAAATCTTGAGACCTAAAATACTTTTCTATTCAGCAAAGCAAGTCACTGTATATTGAGGTTGTTCAACTAAAGTAATAAATGTCTGTTAAACAAGTGGAAAAAAATGGACTCAGAAGATTTTATATATATTTGTGTATAAATATGCATACATACTTATGCATATAAATTCATATGTAACTTTATATAGTTACATATATATATATATAGTTAACTGTGTATCTATATAGATACATAGTTAACTATATATATATATGTAACTATAATAATCAAACAAAAAATAGTTATCAAGTTGATCTCTATCTTGAAATCTGTCACCTTCTATGATACCCACACTTGATCAAGCATGAATGGTGCCTTTGGCTGGTACTCACAGTCTGGCATCATGGCAGATGGACTAGTTGTTGTGCTGATGGCTCAGCTAAGGTTCTGCAGTTCCAACCTAATCGATCACTTTTCTGTGATTTTTTTCACCCATGATGGTCCTGGCTTGCTCAGATACTGGACTTGTCCAGGTAACTACTTTGGTTCTATTTGTGTCTTCCTGACTGTCCACTCTGGGCTATTCTGATCTTCTACACTCAGATTATGGTGACTGTGCAGAGAGTTCCTTCTGTGACCAGGACAAAGGCCTTCTCCACATGCTCCTCTCACATGGCTGTGGTGTCCACATTCTATGAAACACTCATGGTCTTGTACACTGTGCCCTCTGCTGTCCATTCCCAGTTCCTCTCCAAGGTCATATCCCTGCTCTAAACAGTGGTCACTGGGTCTTCAACCCTGTCATCTATACCTTGAGGAGGTCCAACACCCACTAAGAAGGTTTTTCTACTGCAAACCAACTGAAATGTGACCTAAGGTAGAGGGCAATGAAGATTTTCTATTTAACTGTCAGTGTCTTGGTAGAAAAGTCACTTACAATGGGCTGCAGATGGAGTAATTATGTTCTTTTTCAGAATTCTACTTTAGGTCTTAAGAGCTTTGCCCAGGGGAAGATGATAGTTAAACAATTTTCAGATGTTAGTTTAAAAGATTATGTAAATTACTGTGAGTTGTTTACTGCATACAACACAAATAGTGCTCAGGTTTGATAATCACACAATGAAGACATGTACTTGATTGCTACTCTGTAACCCATTGCTGTATGTGGCACTGCTGTAAATGATTAATGAAAAGAAAATTATAGAAACAAGACACTGGGGGCTGGAGAGATGGCTCAGCGGGTAAGAGCACTGACTGCTCTTCCAGAGGTCACGAGTTCAATTCCCAGCACCCACATGGAGGCTCACAACCATCTGTAATGGGATCTGATGCCCTCTTCTGGTGTGTCTGGAGACAACAACAGTGTACTCATAAATAATAAATAAATAAATAAATAAATAAATAAATAAATAAATAAATAAATCGAACAGTGTTTAAAAAAAGAAACAAGACACCAACACAAACACATATCTAGAACAATGTTCATGTATGTTGCTGCAGTATGACATTTGAACAGCTCTTTCCTATTGTGTGTATTTGGTTTGAGCATGAAAATTTAATGGTGGAACTTATAATTTTATTTCCCACAAAATGATATATCATAAGTAATTTTATAAATATACACACAATAACAACAATAATAAATTATTTTAAAGGAATATTGTACACCTTGTCTACCATAATAGACCAATAATAATAGGACCTAGGTAGAGTTACCCACCTTGGCTACACAACAATTGACACCTGCTACAGAAACTTATAAAAATAACTGCCCACTGAGCTTGCCTTGAGACATCTCCAGCTATTACAAAGGATGGGTTCCTCCACCCATCTCCTCCTTGACCCATCTCCGACAGTGTCCAAGGATGTGTCCCCCTCACCCAAACCTGCTGAAGTTAGAAGAGGTTCTGTAATAGGGGTGGGGTTTCCCCTTTAAATTGAGAGCTAAACATTAAAACATTGAGCCTTGATCAAAATACCTTGTCTTGGCTTCATCTCTTTCCACCCTCCATCCCTTCTTTCATTCACAGCCCCCCTTTCAGGTGAACCCAGTGATCTGTGGAGGCAGGTGGCTACAGAATAAAATTACATTCTTTCTCATCCTGGTCCTATTGACCTGGGTTATTGTTAGACTCACCAGCTTCCTGACATCTTGTGATTTAACTTCTTTGGACACTAAGCTCCCTTTAACATGATTTGACAGTGGTATCTAAGTTAAACTGGAGAAAAGATATTAGAAAAAGACAGGAGATGCAGTGAAACCAGTGATAAAAATTCTTAAAATTATCACATGATTGTAGTAATTGCAATGGATGTTCATGCATCAGGAATATGAGTATAAGAGGACAAATTAAACAATACCAAACCCAACATACCATTCTTTCCAATAGATTTTTATTTGTTACTTGTCTTGTTGCTGTGACAAAACTTTTGACAAGAAATTTAGGAATGAAAGTTTCATTTTATTCATGGTTTGAAGAATACAATACATCAGGATGACAAAAGCAAGGCATGAGGGTGAGGTGAAGGGTTACATTGCATCTGCGGTCAACAATCAAAAACAAATGAATAATGATAGTAAGTTATGTTTTTAATTTTTCCATTATCAGTCTAGGGTAATTCTATGGAACAGATTGTGCTGTATACATTCAAATAGATCTTTCTATCTCAGTGAAATCTCTCCAGAGATACCTTCACAGAAATGCACAAAGTATTGTGTTAAAGGTGATTCCAAATCCAGATAAGTTAACACTGAAGATTAGCCAGAGCCATCATGTAATTTTCGCTTGAGCTATGGTGTTAACTTGCTCACTTTGAATGTGTGGTAGTGATGTGAGTTGTATTCCTTCCTGAATGATGATCCTTAGTCTTGAGATGTCTCAATGTTCAGAATCCTTCTCAATGAACTCTTAACATCCTTATTTCTCAGACTATAAATGAAGGGGTTCAGAGTGGGCGTTACCAAGGTATACATGACAGCAGCTACCACCTCCCCAGAGGAACGAGAACTAGATGGGGGCTTCAGGTAGGTGGCAAAGACTGTGCTATAAAAAAGAAGAACTACAGAGAGGTGGGAACTGCATGTGGTCAAGGCTTTCCTTTTCCCCTGTGCTGATGAAACCCTAGCCACAGCATAAAAAATACAACCATAAGAACTTACAATGCAGAGAACTGCACTGATTCCCAAAACTCCAGCCAAACTCATCATCAGGACCTCATTGAAGTGAGTGTCAGAGCAGGAAAGCAATAAGAGAGGCCTACAATCACAGAAAAAATGAGGAATCTCTTGACTGGCATGAAAATATAACTGAGAGAGCAATAATGTGTAGATCATAGACACACCATGAGCTATTCCCCATGACCCACTGACCAGAATCTGACATCTACAAGGAGTCATGAGAAGTGGATAGAGAAGTGGGTGACAGATAGCAGCATAGCGGTCAATAGCCATGACTGCGAGAAGCAGGTTATCCATATCTGCAAAAACACCAAAGAAATACAACTGAGTCAGGCATCCAGAGAATGAGATAGATCCATCTCCAGTCCACAGAGCCTCCAATGTTTTAGGAGCTGTGGTGGTGATGAAGCAAAGGTCCACGAGTGAGAGCTGACTGAGGAAGAAATACATGGGAGTGTGGAGGTGGACATCAGCACCAATAGCTAACAGAAGTAGCAAGTTCCCTAAAAGTCCCAGCAAGTAGAGACCTAGGAAGATGCTAAAGAAGGGCTGCCATTTCTCTGGGTCACTAGACAGTCCCAAGAGGATAAAACCAGGAGCCTGACTGCAGTTCATCCTGGGTATTTTTATTAAAGACAAATTTGGCATGAAGACAATTCTCTCACTGCAGGCAAGAATTGGCATCAACCCAGACCTGGTCCCTTGACAATGGATCTTCCTTAAAGCCTCTATTGAGCAATAGAAACTAGAACAGCAAAGAGAGTGACAAGACTTGGAGTTCATTAAAAATGGCTCCCTAGGGAGACATAAAGACAATTTGTTGAATGGCTTCCAGGAATTCTTTTGGGGAAAGCTATGTTATTTAACCATTGTGTTACTTGACTCAATAACCACTTTCCTGTGAAAGTGTTTATTTTCCTGTGAATCTGTTTGACTGATTCCTTTGAAGGCACTTTATCTTAGTACATAGCTTAATGCTTTGCTGACAGTTCCTGTCCATCCAGTGACTTACTGTGACCACTTAGTATCAATTAATGCATTGTTCACAATGTTGCCAAGGGAGTTCCTTCAAAAAAAATAAAATCATGTTACTTATTTGTTTAAAAGAAGTTGCTTGGATAAACATTTTTAAAGAAACTGTGTAAGTCCTTGTGTGTCTTCTAAGGCTCTAAGTATTTCGAGTCTGGGAATGCCTCATAAACTCTTTCATGACTCACTACCCATGTTGAATGAGCTATCAGCAAGATTCACACTTCCTAGTACCATTTTCTATCTTGGTCAATTTCTGTTACTAACATAATATTACAAACTAATAAATGAAAAACAATTCATTTTGGATCAAATGTCAAGTAAAAGAAGAACGCCTCTGGTGGACTCTAAATAGCAGGGAGCAACAACACACAGAACAATGTATGAAGTGTGTGTCTGTGACTTCTGATAACTCTTCTTAAATGACTAGTGTCTAATCTTTGTGTGTTTGCATAATCCAAGAGACAACCAAAGGTTCCACCACAGTCAGACTCAGTTTCCACTAGCTCAGTACCTCATTGAGCTGTGACATGCCTGAGAAAGATTATACATGGTTTCAAATCATAGGGTTTATCCTTGCCATCTCAGTTTCACTCCAAGGAAATCTTTGCTTCTTTTATTGGCAGATTTACCTAGTACCATCATTGAGTAACATCTTGTGATATGGAGGATAGAACCATAGATATTTTGTTGAAATATTTAGTAAGGTATTAAGTTAGTTAGGAAATGAGACATTATGACAGAGCACAGCAGAATCTGACTTTGCTCTTCAAGGTATGCCTAGTGCGTGGCATAAAAATAGCAAACACTGATCATAAAGTGGGCACTGCATTTTCCCATTCATTTAGTATTTCAATAATGGAAAACTTTTCCTCCAGGCATCCTGCTGGTGTGACTTGAATACATGATACATCCATGTCTTTCATTCTCACATATGTAAACAATGTTGGAACATTGTTCTCCACAAACTCTTCTACATTTCAGCCCCTTGATCACCTTTTCTTACCTTGACTAGACATTTTCTCATCAATTTAATCAAAGCTTATTGCATCAATTGTATAACTAGCTAGACTTATTATATTCTAATTAACATTATTCAAGCTGCAATCATTTCAGTTTTGCCTTGATTTTATTGCTCAAATACCTCTAGTGCCTGCCTCTTGTTTCCCATTAATTGCATACACTGTACTGTACCTGGTTACTGGGAACTCATCGGTGTGCCTCTGCATACCTGTCCCAGTCCTAGCTAGGCAGTCTTGTTTATCTGGCTGGTCACCCATAGTTTTTCTAATCCTCACTCCAAATATCATGCACTCTTGTTAACATTAATCACCATCGCCCCTCTCAACTGATAATTTCTCATCTTTAGTCAAATTTTACCAGGCCTGCATAACTATGTAATAATTTTATCTTATTGTCCACTTAAAAACTGTTATTGACAACTTTACCTTTTATTTTCTTACATCTTCTTAAATATAAACGCAGGATGATCTGGTGCTTAAGTTGATATTGTCTGAATGAGTTTTCTAGTTTCTGTGACATATAAATTTTTGCTTCTTGGTTAAATGTGAATTTCATGAGAGTAGAGGCCATAACTTCTGTTGTAAAAAAAGATCACAGAATAGATGAATTTTGTAACAATTAAAACTGATCTTCAGGATAAGATGCTACTTAGGAGGTTGCCCCCTTAGGACCTGGTCAAGGGCAGTCAGAATTAGAAAAACATGACTCTGTTCCAAAGAAAATAATGGCTTTGAAAACCCATCAAGGAAATTAAAGAATATCGCAAGAGTGTGGAGAAAAATATATGATGTACTAGTAATATGTAGGCTGACAGAGAGGGTGCTCCAACACTTTGTCCAATCTCTCTTTCTCTTTCTGTCTTTCTTTCTCTCTTTCTTTCTTTCTTTCCTTCTCTTTTATTATGACTTCCCTTCTTTTCACACTTCAGCAGTATTTTTCTTCTTTGTACTCTCTGCTTAACTATGTTTTTATTCTTTCTTTTATGAGAAGAATGGGTTAACAATGGAGATCTAGGAAGGAGTCCATTGTGTTACTGTGATAGACAGGGCTCTACTAGTAACAGAAAACAAAGAAATGTAATCGTGTTCTTCAACTGCTTGCCAACAGTTACATTATCTGTATATTTACAATGAAGAAATTAATTAAAGTTTATTGTTGGGTGGTATAACTTAGACATTTGTGTTTGGGGCTAGAAAGTTGGCATAGTACTTAAGAGTGTTGCTTCTTTTCCAGAAGATGTGAGTTTGGTTCACCACATCCAAGTCAGGTGACACATAAGCACCTGAAACTCTTGTTCAAAGCTCTCTAATAATCTCTTTCCTGGTCTCTGTGGGCACTGACACACATTTGCATGTACAAATACAAATACACACACACACACACATATGTGTGTGTGTATGTGTATGTATATGTGTGTGTATATATACTTTACAATAAAATATCATTGAAAAGAGGACAAAAGGCAAGTCTCCCTGTATACAAGAAAATTGAAATAACTCCCTGCTGCACCTGACCAACACACTGTAGATTGAAGCTAGATATCATCAACAACAAAAACAAAAGAGATCCTACAAGTTCATGAAAACTAAACAATTCACCGCTGAATGTAAAATGGCTCAAGACAGAAATAAAGAAATTAAAAACTTTCTAGAATTCAATGACAATGAATACACATATCCAAACTTATGGAACACAACAAAAGTGGTGCTAAGAGGAAAGTTTACATCATTAAGTGCCTGCATAAAATATTGGGGTGATCTCATACTAATAACTTGACAGCTCTCCTGAAAGCTCTAGAACAAGAAAGCTTGAATCATGCCCAAGAGAAGCAGACAGTGGAAGAGAAGGAGAAAAGATTTTAGGAGTCAGAAGGGATGTAGGACAGCAGGAGGACATGGTCCACTGAATCAATAAAGAAGGGTTCACATGAGCTCACAGAAACTGAAGCAGCAAGCACAGGACTTGAATGTGTCTGTACCACATCCTCAGTGTATGCTATGGCTGTTAGCTTGGTGGTAGATGGGAATCCTAACAACAGGAACAAGTGTTTCTCTGATACTTTTGCCTATACTTGGTACTCTTTTTCTCCTTTTGCCTTGCCTTACCTCAATATGAGAGGTTTTGCCTTGTCTTTTTGTATCTTGTTCTGTTGTTTGTGGTTGTTGTATCTTGGAAGGCTGTGTCTTTCTGAAGGGAAACTGAGAAGGAATGGATCTGGTGGAAGAGGGTTATGGTGGCAGGGGAGAAATGAATTGTTCTGTCAATCATACATGCAGTATCACTTTCCCATCTTTGTACTGAAAATTAGGAGGTTATCTTCATACAAGGTTACATCTACATTCATACTCTTTATTGAGATAATCTTTTCTGCCATCAGGCAATGACATGCCTCTCATGTTATCAATCTCCATGTTAAACATTCTCACTACTATTGTATTAATCTCAAACCTATTCATCTATAAAATATATTGAATATATTACATCTCAGAGCAACTGAGATTCAGTGCTGAGGTTCTCCGGAAACTTAGCATTTACAGTTGCACCTAAAGACTTAGCTTCAGATGGGTTACACAGTAATATGTGGCAATCCTTTGGCATCTAGAGCTACTGACTCATTTTTTATTTCGTATGATGTATTTATCCAAAAGCTCCTGTCCCTAAATACTTTCTAATCAAATAGTTTTAATTCCATGCTTTTTGAACCCTCTTAAAGCAAACACTTCTGCTTGTATTTCACAAAATAACTCTCATCAATGTCAGGTTTAAATTTCACTCCTTAAGTTATAATTTGATTTTTCAAAAAAAGGGCTCGATTTAAAATCTTTTGTTTTTACTTCTAACTCTTCATTTGTCTGACTTTCAAGGTACCTACAATACTCTCCTGGTGTCTATTGATCTCTCTGACTCATCTTCAGTCCCCTAGTCTAGTTTCTCTTCCTGATTTAAATTACTTTTAAACTCATCTTTGTAATACTTTTCTATTTCCAGTTTCATGCTTCAAACACCTGTAAGCAAATCCTCTGTTTTCAATACTAGATTTTTTCCTCAAATGTGTGTGTGTTATGCACATATATAACATATAGTATCATTTCTTCATTGAAGCATATTTACTGTGAAACATGTTTTCTTTTATGTAAGATTATTTACATTCAACTTTGGAAGCTAGCATACAAATGAAACGATGTCCTATATTACACGTTCTATGTTCCACTATGAAATATGTGCTCATACTCCATAAAATACCACATTTCACACGTACCTTCTCATTTCTTTAATGTACACTTATGAGTGATGAACTTAAAAACATCCACTTTGCCCAATGGTCTTAGACCTACAAGCATCCTGACCTTTGCAGTCATTGCTGAGAGCATATATAAGAGTACAGATGATGGAGTCTGGAAGTCTAGATTGAATTACCTCTCTTGGGATCAGAAAAGGTTTGCCTACAGAAAAAAATCTTTCTTGACCTTGGAGACTCAGTTCCCAAAGTTACTTATTAGTGGAAAACATGTAGTAACTTTCCATTGACAATTTTTCCTGAAGAGTATTTGAAGAATAAAATCACTAAACAACTCTACATTCTGGGCATAATTCAGACGTGAAAGCAGAGAGATATTTACAACTCATGGTCTA